CGCTCCCGGTCTCACAGAAGACGGATCGCTCCCTTAATCACTCTGGAAAAGAACCCCAAGCCGATATAATATTATAATTAATTAATTCACTAAAAAGGTATTAAATTTCTCTCCCCCCTGTGGATATTATCTGAATTCATTGACCTTTAGAAAAATCACCCTCTAATTGTAACCAGGTCCAAAAGCATTTGCAGCCCGTCCCTTCTACATTAATAATATCTTCCCGGACCCGGCTCCGGCTGCTTAAATATTGTATAAATTCCACTGCCCCCCTCAGAAAAGAGAGAGCAAAGGAAAAATGAATCTGGAGGAGCCTGGGAGGGGGATGGGGCCGGACCCTAAGAGGTGGGGGTCTGGGGGGCGGAACAGGGGGTGAATTGATGGGGCTCTTTCTAGTTGTTCCAGCTGACGTGCCAGGGGGCTTGGAGGGGCACAGGAGGGGCAGGGGGCATGAGTTGGGAGCAGGAGTATTAAATTTGGGGTTCCTTTCTTGGAGGCTGAGGGGTGAGGGGAGAAGATTCATAGTGTGTATCTGATCCTCATCCGAGTCAATGGCTCCAAACAGCGAGGGAGGGAAGAATCTGATTTAAAGGGACAGTGGGTGCTGGGAACCTGTGAAACTCCAAGGAGGCATCCGGGGCCTGCTCCTCCCCTCCCCCGCCCCCAGGCCCCACTACAGGTGGTGGGCAGGCCTTGGGGGAGGCGTGGTTGGACGTGGAGGACGCCTAACGCTGAGGAGGTAGGTACTAAGGAACAGAGAGCCAGTGCCACCGGCCTGGCCTGAGCAGGGCCACCGCCCATGCCTGCCCTTCCATCTTTTGCTAATTCTCCAGGCCTCAGTGAGGTGAGGGGTCAGACAGGCCCATGCCTGCTCTCACCCCGCCTACTCACCCACCCGCTTTTAAAAAATAACTCCCCCTGCGGACCTTTAGTCTGGAGAGGTGTCCTCTGCCCCACAGAACGCACCCCTCCTGCTTGCTCAGAGGTGTCAGCCACGGGCAGGAAGCCGTTGGCCTGGCTCCTCTCCACCTGACGGCTCCTGCAGACCAGTTCTGGACGTGAACTTGTGCTTGTGGAAATGGGAGGTGGCACCTCCGCCTGCCTTCACCAGGCCCGAGGGGCTGCAGGGCCCCAGGCAGACTGTCTGGAATGTGCAAAGAAGCCCAGACTCCCTCCACCCCACTCCCTGACCCCCCCCCCAACCTGGTTGACAACTGTTAGCTCCTGACCCTTTGGCGCCCTCTTGTGGGTGGAGCCTCACCCACACCCTCAGTCCTGCCCAATGGG